CTCTTTTTTTTTTTTGGCAGAGGGAGGCACAGGGGACGTGGAGCAGGGGAATAACTAATTTACTATTCAAGATAATAGTGCACTTGAATTTATATAGTGTTTTTATGCATGAATTTGTACATTTAACATCATGAGCTGTTTCATCTTGCTTTGCCTTTCCTCTTTTTTAACTTTATGTTAGTTCTACATCTTTTCTGGCCACTGGAGATCACTGAGCTAATGTTTTATATGGAGCTCTCTATTGCAACCCTTAAGGTCTTGTTCTCAGTTTGTAATGATTACTTGAGAGTGTATTGCCTTAGAGGTGTTAGAGTATCATCAAAGTTTTTAAGTTTTCGAAAATTAGAAGGAACAATAACTACATGATGCCAATATATAAGGCTCCAGTCCTTCATTTAGAATAACTAGATTCCTGCATTTCCAGGAAAGTCTTTTAAAATGGACCTGTGCACCCTTTGATACAGGAGGGACCTGTAACCTTGAAGCATGTTTGAGTACCTGGCACACATCCTTCAGGTGGATATACTGCAGGTTCTTATCTAAACCTGGATAAAAAAGTGATGATCTGAAAAGAGATGTTGAGAAAAAATGCAAGGAAATGACAATATGTAGAATATATGCTATTCTGTAGGAATATAATTTTCAAAAATGCTAATGTACACAGAGATATTCAGATACTTGATTGCATTAGATTGCACAATGAATAAAACACACTTTAAGGTAGCATATGCACTGAATTTTTATTTAAAAAGTACTTCTAAAACATGGTCTTATGTATCTAGATATCTAGATATCTACATGATGCCAAAACTCTGGCCTAGTGGTTAAAGCCGAGCTTCTCTCAAATGACTTAGAAGTTTAAGCTCCCAGTTTGAGAAGAACATTTTGGTAGATTTTACTTGGGAAAACTCTTTGAAAATGGTCTGTCTTTTCTCTGTGAAATACTTGTGAAAAGTGGTGTTGCCCAGGCTCCCTGGATGAAGATCTGATTTGTCTCTTTCCCCTTGACTTTTTAGTCACCGTGTCTTTTTGTATTTGCAGAGGGAAGGTGGGAGTGCATAATTCCTCCAAAAATTAGCTCGTGTCTTAGCAAAGAGCTTGGATATGCCCCCAAAACTCTTCAACAACCAACCTTACAGTACATTCCAAAAAAAAAAGATAAAAAAGAAAGGAGAAGACACTGGAGCCGTATCTTGACAGAAATGTACTTTATAGTCTACTGCCAGAATAAATTGTGCAAATAGATATGTGCCATAAGCACCGCTGCCTTTGAAAGAGGAACAGTGCTGTCAGAAATGCCTTTCGGGGCTGTTTAGTGTGAGCTGATCTGCCTCCTCTCCAGAGCACTGTGGTTAACTCCCCAGAGAGACCGCAGTGCTACAGAAAAAGGGGAACAGCAGCTCTCATGGTTCTAATGATTTTTTTTTTCTAAGTGCTGCTCTGCTCTTTTCTCTCTCTTATGTCTGCAAGTCCAAGCAGTCCTAAAATCAAGTTCCTGTAATTCTGGTGTGGAGGGAAAGGCCTAATTATATTCAGACTTGTTGACGAAGTACAAAGCAAATGAACCCTGAAAGGATCCCAGGTGATGGGTGAGAGTCTGAAGGCAAAACCAAATCCAAAACCAAAACCAATTTGTGACAGCAAGAGGGATGCGCCTTGAGCCTTTGCCCTCCTCTCTTGCCTGTTTGATGGGAGACAGAGCCTTTTTAGACTGATTCTTTGCACTCAGTGGTTATTTTACCTTGCTGCTTTTGGGACACAATGTGATGAGAAAGACCCATGTCGTTATGTCATGGGAAACAGCCCGGTGAGTTCGTACACCTGTGTGTTAATGGGCTTCCACTGAAAGACAGTCTGAGGAAAAAAGTTGTGCTAGGGGCAATATGAAATGTCATCCTGTTGACTGCGGCTTTCAAAACTATATTTAAAAGGTGCAAACGAACAAACAACAAAAAAAGGCAAAAACAAAACAAACTGTCTTGTTTGCTTTCCAGCAAGAAAAACTGGGTGACATCTGCTTCTCCCTCCGTTATGTGCCTACTGCTGGCAAGCTTACTGTCGTCATCCTAGAGGCAAAGAACCTGAAGAAGATGGATGTCGGAGGGCTATCAGGTAAGAGCATCAATATCTGCCTGTAGATCATGCAGGCTTGTAGGCCTGAAAAGCAACTCACTTTCCCCTGGTCATCTCACGAATGAGAAGGTAAGGTCTCTTATTCGCAGTCTGAAAAATGTTCCTTGTGTTTTCTGAGACTCGATGAAGGACTTGAGCCTATCAGAATTGGTTCTAGCTTAAAAAAAAAAAAAAAAAAAAAAAAGGGAATTTCATTATGCATTACACTCCACGACGAGGTCTGAAGAGTTAAGCAGTCAGATGGCATTGCAAGCTCTCTGCACCTTCCTGCTTCCCTGTTGCCTGGAGATAAATATGGACTATTCAGGCAGGAGAAAAAAAAATCTGACTACAATTCCTATTGTCTGTTTAATCTCACAAAATGTGAGCATTTTCCTGCAATGTTGCTGATAATACCTAATAGAGGAACTTACAACAGGTCACGGCGCTGACTGCTGGTTGAGGGGCTGCGATAGCGCTCGGTACATCTCAAGAGCTCAGGTGCGAGTGGCCAGTGCACAAGGCTGGGAGGGAGGGATGGGGCCTCGTTCTCCTCACGGAGCTCCACGTTCTCGGCTGCATCGGGAGTTCTTGGAAGCCGACTACTGTCTGAATTGCCAATTAGCCGAGGACAAATTAAATAACAAGATGTTTTATCAGGAGAAGTCTTTCCGGGAGAAATTTGCTTCATATACCTGCTGTTCAAAAGGGATGGTCTGAACAGTAGTGAGGATGAGGATGTTTCCAGAACAGCTCTAGAATGAAAATTTCTATTACTGTCAGTAACACACAGAGGTGATTTCCCTTTGACAAAGGACAGACAAAATTAGTGTTTCACTTTTGTTTCCTGTAATCTTTGAACTAGGTAGGAGTTAAACTTAAAATATGCATAGAAATGGGAACCTGATCCAACTGAACCCAGAGGTCTTAGGTACTATCTTTGATGAGCAGTAGCAGAAAGAATGGTCACAAAGTGAGAGGGAACAAGTCCCTTCCTAGTTAGAAGATATCTTTATTTTCTTTTGCTTGCTTTTGAAGTCTTTCACTGTACAATAAGAACCTCCACAATGTAAAAGTCATCAAACACGACATTGTTTTAGTTGTTGTCTGAATCGATCTAGCTTTTTCAACGACTATTTTAAAATGTGGACACTAGTTTAGGACACACCACTAATAGTTTCCCTGACATCTCTACTGGACCAATTGCAAATTAATGTTCTTAGACATATGACCTTATAAACTGTATCCTAATGAAAGATTAGACTCTCTCTCGCTAATGAAGAGGCATGATTTTTGTGACTCGAATACAGGCTGAAAAGCCAGAGCATCTATACTCTTTTCCAGGATTGCAATGAATGTGATAAATAATGGCTACTCAGCTTGTAAGAAAATAAAGGGGCAGGAGAAACACTAATGAACTGAACACATTTTACAGATTTCAGGAGGAAAATATAATGCACTGGGCTGCAAATAGCTAGGAGAAAATGGTCATTTGCTCACCTGTTTGTGCTAAAATGCCAGAACAGTGTAAAAGGACATTTAAATATATTTCTAGAAGATGATGGGTTTTGTTCTCCTTTTCTTAGGGCCATTTCAACCTAAAAACATCATGTTCTCTCAGAGACAAACAAACCCAGTGGGATACTGCGGTTGTAGCAGGAATTCAAAAGTCACTGACAGTGATAAATAGCGGTTAGTATGGTATTCCTGAGGCAGTAATTATAGATGAAATAATGTTGGTTTAAAGTGAATCCAGTGAATCTTTCATTAGGGAATTTTTCTTTGAATAAATTATGCAGAAATAACTTTTGAAATCAAGCTGAGATTTTGTTTTCATAATTCACAATAAATAATACCTTCTCTCAAAGTAAGGCACTGTTTAATTACAATGAAGGTGGCAGGATTTTATCTCAATTAGTGAGCACTTTTCCCACTAGTTTTGTTATTTTTCTCTAAAAACTAAAATTGCTTCCCATTTTGCAAAACTGAAAGTTTTGCATTGCAATGGAGGTGGCAAATGTTAACAATCAAATACATTCTGAATGTTACCTATAGACTCAACAGCACTTACTGTCACCAAGCAAAGGCCATTACCGGGAGATAAAAATTATGTGGGTGTCACAAAATAAAATGAAATGCTAAAAGTCTGTCAAAAATAGGCAAAAAAGTGCCTGAGTTTTCAGTTTAAAATATGTTTTTGTTGTTCTCGCCTCTTTTGGAGAAGATGCCAGAAAAGCCAAATGGAGATGTTTGGAAAGAGCAGGGCTTTTTCTCCCACCTCCCAGGGGAGATGAGTCATGCTACAGAAAGGAGAGCACTTGGGTGCCCACTGCCCTGCACATTTTGGTATTCCTGCTTCTGTTGAGTATGTGCTATACCTTTGCTCCTCAGCAATGCTTGAACATATCCTCAAAGAGTTGTCTTATTTTTTGCATCTGTAAGTGTGGTTAGGAACATGCTTAATTTTAAAGCATATATTTATGCTTTAAAGCATAAAGCATATATATTTATGTTGTCCTGAAGTAGAGCCATCCCAACAAGACAGCCGCTGAAAGCAACAGTCTGCTCAAAAGAGATTGAAAGTGCTACCTCCCCTAGCGTTTTTAGTGGTGTGATTCTAGTTATGAAATACCGACCCAGCTACTCAGTATGTGTATCCCACTGGATGGTTACTACAGTTGCAAATGAAACCTTCATCTCCAGCGTTCTGAACTTTTCCATAAATTTTATTTGCAGTCGAAAGCCAAATGCAAATTACTTTGGAATCAGACAATAAAAGACAACAGACTAATCATCAAATTCATTAGACTTCTTGTAACAAAACCAGATCACCCATCTGAGCAATAAACTCCCAGGTCTTAAACTTAATTGCAACATCAGGCTGTGACTAAAGCAAACCTTGGCACAGATGCCAAAACTGTTCAGCTTGAGCTCATCAAGTCACCAGAACAAGTGAAAATTATTACTTCTGGTGAGCGAGGGCCTCTGGCAAACAATTATGCATGTTTTAAAATGGCATTTTAATTATTTAAATTATATTCAAATGTATTTTTAATGAATCTGACATCTGGCAGGTGATATGTAGGAATGTTGACTATAAAGAGATTATTATTATTTGTGTGAGTTTGGTAAACCCCTGTTACATAACATTATACGTATTCTTCACCCAAAATACCTAGGTGACTTAGAAGCTTATATCTTACTGAAAATAAAGGGAACTTAGACTCCTAAGTAATTGTGGGGATTAACAAAAAAAAAAAAAAGAGTTGAAAACCAGCTTGCAGTTTAATCTCCACAGCCATAAAGACAAAGTCCAGATAATTTTTCCAGAGGACGCAGCGAGACTCGGTGATGCCATTAAGTTCACTAGGGTTCCCCACACTTATTGATACTTTATTCATGTTCATAATCCTCGGAGTTGAGAAAGGCGGCAGGAATTATCTTCATCTCCCCTGTGAGATATTCATTTAAATCAGAGTGGTGGTGATTTCAGTTACTGATTTAATGAGAAAGCAGCAAAGTGTTATTTAAATTAATCTTGATCTTATTTCGTACTTGTAATCTTTATTTATTTGCTAAAGAAAAAATAGTTTTTTAGGACTTAGCACATATGACTTGCAAATAAATGCAGTCTGATCAATAAATATGCTTCTCCTTTTCACTACATAGGAAGATTCCCCATGTTAATGCACATTTATGCAGACAATTCTATGGCTTTTCATGCATTTAGTCATGTCTTGCATTTGGATTCACTTTTGTTCCCAAGGGGAAATAGAAGTTTTCTTTCTAACTTCCAGCAGCTCTGCCTGTTTTGACTGAGCCAGTCATTGAAATAAATTACCTGGAAGCATTGGAAAAGTTTTCCCTCCCAACTTTGAGAAGCACCTGGGGCTGGCACCTAAGCAAACTGTTGTTGTGGGTGTTTAGCTGCCTAGGCTCCTTGGCTTAAAACACTGTCTTAAGAACTCCAGTGGCAATATGTATGGCTGTTTTGCTTTACATCTAAAATGCTTCACTTTTTAGTAGCTGATAACAAGTGTAAGCCTGAAAATAGTTTATCATTCTTTCAGGATTAATTTCAACATGGTTTATTCCTTTTACAAAATTTTGAAAATGAGCGTTTGTATTTTATGCATATTATTTTAATATGCTT